TTTTCCTGTTTTAAAGGAGTTCAGCTGTACCTGGTTGTGGTTTGTTTTGCACTGAGAGCCAGTTTCCTGGCTGATAAGAGTCGACTTGTTGAAACTACAGGTGACAGTCGGCCACAGACGCTCAGTGAAGAACCAACAGCTGGTTGTGGACATGGTGTGTCAGAGCCCAAAGAGGTTTATTGAGGACTGGACCAAAGTTCTAGGGGGCCACAGGCAGTGCTCTGTGGCTGCAGACGGACTTGAACTGTAATATTTTCACCCCCAGATTACAGATTATAGAAGCTAGTGTTGACTGTTGCTAGGAGACGGGATGTGAACAGCTTTGTACATCCAACCGTCCCCCCCGACCTCCTCCATCAGAGGGTTTGTGGCGCTGTAGTGATTTCAGGATACTTCCTCCTTTACTTCTGAGAGAGAACCGTCATTATTACACAAACACAAAAGGTCGCTTGTCAGGACCAAAACATCCAACAATCAATACTTCTATATTGACAACGGATCAGCTGACTCTGTGTGATGGTGAAGAGTCGTGTGGTGGTGATGAACCCACAGAGAACTGTCTCCATCTCTGCAGCTCTACACAGCTTTTTAGCCTCTTTTAGCTCCTAGTTTTGGTTCTGCAGCACATTTCCTGTTTGCTTGAGTCTCAGTGTTTCCAGCAGCAGCTGTTTTCATCCAACAAGCTGTGATGAAGCCACTGTTCACTACCTGCTCAGCAGCAAACAGCAGACAGGCTCAGTTAGAGACGAGCTGGTGAACATAGTGGAGCATTTAGCAGCTAAAGAGACAGATGTTTCCCTCAGGAGGTGGTGGAGACCAAACACAGAGCTACAAGAGAGAGAGTAGTGGACTTCCATTCATCAGGAGACACAAACACAAAGATTCCTGATGAGTCATCATGTTGATGTGTAACTGCTGGATGTGGAAGCAGCTGTTGATATCATGTGAGACACAACTACTTTATAAGCTGATAAGATGTCACATGTTGTGTTCACAGCTTGTTTTCACTGAACCACAAGTGGACAAAGAAATCAATAGATGCAGGTTTAAACATGTGACTCACTGACTGACTGTAGAGGAAACTGAGTGTGAAATGGATGATGATGGTCAATATAATACTGATAATAATACATCATGAATAAGTGAACATAATGAGCTGTCGTCATGGGCCAATCAGAAGAAGCTCCAGTGAAGTCAAAGAATATGAGCTGATGAATAATAAGTGCTCCATGTGAACATGAATAACAAAGCTCTGTGTGTGGGAGCGATGTAATGTCCATGTCTCCATGCTGCTCTGACCCCCCTCCTCCTTTCAGGGTGGAGCCTGCTGGAGTCCGATGGTCCAGACCAGGTCTGAGGAAGTGTAAGTGTGCTTTGAGTTTGATTCATGGAAACAAAGCATCTTCAAACTGTGACATCACTCATCCACATCTCTGATGTCATCATCAAACACATGATAGATTAATAACTGCAGCTGTATTGTGTCTTGTTCTCTCCATCAGATTCCTGTGAACTCACACTCGACACAAACACAGTGAACAGAAACCTCAAACTGTCTGACAACAACAGGAAGGTGACAGATATGGAGGAGGTTCAGTCATATCCTGATCATCCAGACAGGTTTGAGTTCTGGTATCAGCTGCTGTGTAGAACTGGTCTGACTGGTCGCTGTTACTGGGAGGTCGAGTGGAGAGGAGAGGTTTCTATATCAGTGAGTTACAGAGGAATCAGGAGGAAAGGAGACGGTGATGACTGTTGGTTTGGAGAGAATGATCAGTCCTGGTGTCTGAGATGCTCTGATGAAGATGGTCGTTACTATGTCTATCACAATAAGACAAGAACACCCATCACCTCCTCCTCCTCCTCCTCCTCCTCTGGTAGAGTAGCAGTGTATGTGGACTGTCCTGCTGGCTCTCTGTCCTTCTACAGAGTCTCCTCTGACATACTGATCCACCTCCACACCTTCAACACCACATTCACTGAACCTCTTTATCCTGGGTTCAGGTTCATCTCCAGGTCCAGACCTGGTTCCTCAGTGTCTCTGTGTTCTCTGGAGGAGG